CTTTTCCCTTTCTGCTAATGCTAGACCTCAAAATAAATGTTTCCAATTTTGTTTCTTGGTACAGCTTCTTAGCGCAAAATTAATTGCTTCTCCAAAAACAGAAATCAAAGCTTTGAAAGCTTACGGAAGGAATTATCGACAAAGAGAGTTGAATAATCCTCATGCTCCTCACACATTAGCGTAAAGAATTTTGAAGGTAGCTACTCTCTGTTGACACATGATTAATTTGATAAAGGAATTGTGCAAGGAAAACAATAAAAGAAACCTACGTTAAGATGTACTCGATAGTAGAACAGACCATGGAAAACTGTAAATGCTACGATCGATAATTTGAGAACTTATTGTTATTTATTGCAATCAGTATACTAATTTTCTCGTAACGTACTTAAACTGTAGTAGCAATCATGCATTTAAATCTCCATTATCTGTAAGTAAATTCCTCCACCTTAACAGAAATTTGCTCTTTTTCCTGTGTTAAAATCGCTCTGTTTTTATGCATTGCGCATCTTATTTAAGTCATTACTAAATGCTATGAAAATCTTTAAAATTTCACTACGTTGTTCTGATTTTATGCAAGTTTTAATAATGGAAATTTGAAAACTTGTTTCAGAAATTGCATGCATGAAGAGATTTATTACAGTCTGCCTATTTTGGGAGCATAAACTATTATCGAACTCCTCACAGATGTTGACTCGTGAGACGTTATCGCTGAGTCTGAAAAGACCTACAGAACAAACCTAAAGAACTTGGTTTAAAACAAACCTTTTTACTTAACAGAACTCGAAACATAAACGCACTTCTGGTGCTTACAGGATCAGCCACCACTTGTGACGATGTAACTAAAAAAACAGTTAAATTCAAAATTTAAAATGTAAACCAGTACTGAAAGACCACACAATTAAATTTAAATCTAAGTTGGCTCATAATTTTTCACCGGTGCAACAATTTAAATATCAGCAGCAAATAATGCAAAGCCGAATAATTACAAACTTCACTAAGATGACATAACTAAAATAAAGTGGCCTCGAGAGGCAGAAACGCGCTCTGTTTTATAACCCCAAAACCTCGGGTTAAATACTGTCTAACACATTTACATTTCTAGTGAGGAAACGGAAAAGAGAAGCTATAGTAAAGGCTGAAATTATAAGCAACTGGTTAAGGCAGAACAATAGTAACTTTACAATACCATTATTTCTATCACTTTTTTCTTAGTCGGTAGTAGTAAATTATCATTAATATTTCAAACTTCAATTCTTTTCAGTTTTTATATTTTTAAACATTTTTGAACACAACACTTAAATTAGAATCTTAACGCCATTTTTAAACATCAAAGATTTAAAATAATAATAATAATAATAATAATAATAAAAGGGAAAAAAGAAATCATAAGAAAAAAAGCAAACTGTCATTTCCGAAAGAACCATCTCTTACATATTTGATTTGAAATTTAAATTTGAATTATTATTCAAAGTCGTTTAATCTACTTAATGATTCACAATTAAATAACAAAAAGTCAATACTTTTACCAGATACTTGCAACAGCACCTAACATATTTTTCGTTTGTAAACATGTTTTCTACGCTTTGAGTAACAGCATTTCCGAGAATTCCCTTCGAAACCTCCTACGTCATTTCCAAACATTATTTGTGCAGCTTAGTTCTGAGTTATTTCAACGCACTTCCATTAACATTTCTATTTTCTTTCGATAGGAATGAGCTGAAACTGGTTTTAAAAGAAATGTCTAATGCTATTTTCTCATAAAAGTCCGCTCGAGATATATGGATATTGAGGCACACGTACGTGGAACCACATTTGAAATATATATTAATATAATTTTCGATTACATATCTTGAATGGGAAGGGAGAAATAAAAAACAGTTAATCTAGGACACAAGACAGGAATGCTAGAGTATTATAAGCTTAGAAATTTTATTATATTTATAACCTGGTTACATTAGGCATTCCGCTTTATTTTTCGAGCGTAATTCCTTTTCTTATAAACATATTAAGAAAATTAAAGACAGTTTTTTGTTTAAATAATAACTCCCAGGTACGATATTCTATTAATGTGCTGTTTAGTATATACAACAATTAATATAAATGCATTCATTATTCTTTACATTCTAATGTATTTTGCGAATTGTTTTTATTCTTAACTAATAACATTGGTAGTTTTTAAAATCAAATATACACAAATATATCCGCATGTTTTCCAACATTTCAATTAAGGTTTTATTCCTCCAATTTCATTAAGATAATTTCTCATTCAATTAATTCAGTTCTCAATTCGCGACAACGCAAAAATACACAAAAACCTCAAAATATCTTTATTAAAAATTGAAAAATATAGACAAATATAAAACAGCAAATACAGTTGAAACAATTAATAAAACAATTTTTACCATTAAAATTAGAGTATCTATGCAAAAACAAGCAATTCGGCAAGTGGGCAAGAAGACAGATTTTTCAATGCACAAATCTGAAACTTTACTTTTGGCCCCATTCGGCAAAAAGACACTGAAGGTGCAAAAACCATCTTAATTCACTTTTCTGCTAATTTATAAATATAAACAAATATGACTGCTATTGTAAAAAAACTAGGCTTAGCCGCACTTAAACATTTTTTAAATTGTTGATAATTCTACAACTATTTCATCTCACGATATTTAAAAAAAATCAATATAGTACATCAATTTAAATTCATCTCACTTAAAACTTATCTATTTGGCTTATACTCAGCTTACATAATACCAGTTAAGCATCGTTATTCTTACTTGAGGTAAAAGACGAAACACCTTCCGCATTTATGAATTATTGTTAACTGATGGGAGGTTGGTTTGTTCCCGTTGAAACGTCAACCAATTTCCAATCAGTAACGCTAATTACTTGGTTTGTTAAAGTTTCTTTCATTTTTCGTGCTTCATATTTAATAATTTTTAAAAGTTTCCATTTTTTTTTTCATGAATAATATTTTGTGTTTCATTTTAAAATATTTTTCGAGACTCATTTTTAAATACTTATAAGTTACTTCATTCAACTAAAATTCTGCTACCTTTCTCAAAGAAGATAATATACTCAATTATCCATTAGTAAAAATTAATAGATATATATATATATATATATAATTTATTTACTAAATAATATTGATTATATTATCTCCTAAGTTTAATTATAGTAGAATTATCTTAAAAGGGTGAATCCATACTTAGTAAGTTCAATTTTGAAAGATTATATATATACATATACTTTTGGTGCAACTAAAAAGGGAGTTACACAGCAGTCCTATATACAAAATTTCAACGTTTTTGAGTTATGCAAGATACATTCATACATACATACCGTACGTACGTACAGACATGACGAAAAAAATCTCTTCTGAATCCATTTAAATCCTTTTTGCAACACGTGTTGGGTAAATGAGTCCTTTATTATGTCCTTACATATACATGTTACGCAAAAACATCGTTAAATTTCATTCAATAGCGGTCAAAATGGATATTGTCGTTAAAATATGACAACCGAAAATTTTCGCCATTGCAATACTTCCTTTACTTCGTACAAGGAAGTAAAAAGCCTAGCAATGTCACTTATGCTGTTTCAAAGTTTGCTGAAATATTAGTCACTAAAATAAGGAACAAAAGCAAAAAGAAAATTCATCAACTAAAAAATTTTCCACAGCATATAATTCAATGGAGATCGAAATCCAATATATTTTACAACCTGAATGTTTAACGTTCCCAGATTTTCTGCTCAGATAAAATATAATGATAAATACGGTATATATCCATGTAAAAGTAAGGAAATTACACAAAACTGGTTTTTACTGACGTTTCGGGTCAGCTTATATATGAACTACAAGTAATTTGATTAAAAAATAATATTTTAGGTTAAATAATAGAAAACAATATTATTTTTATTTTATTAGATCCCAATATACATTAATCAATTTTCTTAATATCGACACCTGATTTGGAATATTCTAGATATTCTCGAAAGTCTCTATCCTATAGCCAGGTAAGGGTGAGTGTCAACCGTCTCGTAGATGATATCTTACCGTCTCGTAGTGATAACTTTATTATAAATCGATCAGAATATATAGTTCTTTTTTTTTTTTTTTTTTTTTTTTTTCCCATAGAGGAGTATAGAAATGTGTTTTGCTCTCAAAGCACAAATGGGCAAAAAGCTTGCAATTGCTTGGGAATAGTTACTCCAACTGAAAACCAAAGTAAAATAATGCACATATCTTAAAGTTGAAAGCCGCTCAGATTGTGCAGTGGTTAGATGAGCCTACTGTGATACCGATAAGTGATAAGTGACGGAGGGCGTGGGCACCATCCCTCTACCATGATGGTCAATTGGTATAGCGCCACGTCCTCCCTTATCTAGAGTCCGGCTTGAGGGGCCACACGCGAGCCTCGCACAGGACGGCCTGTCCCAACGCCCGGACCGTACCGTCAGAAGTCATGCCGGGCCCAGCGTATATTGAACTCCAATAAAAAGTTTACATGTCCGAACAGAGGCAGTATTACATTCGTTTGATATCATTGTGCATAAGTGCAATGCATAATAATAATAATAATAATAATAATAATAATAATAATAAAACCTAAATGTACTGTGATACCGAAGGACCCGGATTCGAATCCCGGAGAGGACATGGATGTTTGTAAATGTATAGTGACTTTGCGACGTGGGGACACTCTAAATATATGACGAGCCGAAAGTTCTCTCGATAGGTTGGTAGTAGGGAAACAGGAGTGAGAGATCCACGGAACCGTCCTCCCTCGCGGTGCTCTTCCTCAAAATTGGGAGTGGAATTGAGGGAAGTCGTACTGTCATCTGTATCATGCTCGACGCTCTTGCCAGCGACAGGCGTAATCTTGCTTCCTCGCGACGATGAATTTCATGGGATTGTTCCAATGTTACTGTCAAACAAGTGAGATACGTCACAACACATAAGTCTCTCATAATTTGAGAGAATTGAGAAAGGGTAAGCTCTTTCATTCTGCAATGCTTTAAGCACTATTTTTCGAATGAAAGCTGAAGGTGAGTAGCATTTACGTTCAGCTCGTCTAGTAGGTCTACCTAAGCCAGAAGACCAATTATTAGCACAGTTTTCGATATATAATTTATGATATGAAGCAACTTAAAATACGGTTTTATATGAATTTTTAATTTTGGCTGCATTTTTGAAGAAAAATCTTATCTCTAGGCTTATAGTCGGAAATATACCATACTTTAATTTGTCGGAAATAATCTGATTTGCTATATGCGACAAATGACAACTCATGATTGCTTTACTGAAAACGTTAACAAATTTTGCACAGGGCAATTAACACAACTAAACCTCTGAGTAGAGCAACCAATAAAAACCATGATACTCGTATATTAGCAACATAACTGCATAACAGTATAATTCTTTCTTTTGAGGAACTCTTATATTAGCAACATAATTGCATTACCGTATAACTATTTGTTAAGAAGTCCTCATCCAAAATCCGTGTTTTTCAGTTATTTTAAAATGATAATTCCGTCGCTTATTTCGTTAATTTTAAACCTCACTAATTAATATCGTTTTTACTTTTTGAAATATTATAATATTTTCATGAAGATTGTTCTCTATATTTTGTGTACGGACGTACAAATAATAACAGAATTTAATAAACAAATAAAAATTCTTTGCGGACGATTTTGCGAATGGTTCTTAAATTTATAAAAGCAGATATTAAGTACTCAGAAGTTTGAAAGCGCTCCGTAGATATTCAACCATAATATTTCTGTCAACAACAACAGAAAAAGAAAAACTATCGCTAAAATCCAGAAAGAATTGCATAACTTTTCAAGTGGTGGATATTCGAAAGACATCTCACCAAAACCAACCGCATGAAGATGAACTTTTGTGAGACATCTTTCACGTGCAGAGAAAATTTGAGCTAAAATCATCTCGTAAAAGTATCTTCATCATAGAGCACAAAAGTCCCTCGACGAGGAGTAAAATGGAACACGTCCGAATCAAGGAAAATCAAGAAACAACTAAAGCTATCCTTTTGGCTTCGGACATAAGTTCTGGAATTCTCTCTTTGATGTCTGGTCACCGACATATCTCTTACTGCATCCAGTCGTAAAAGATTTCCATTGCAAAGCCATAAAATTCACCTGACCGGAAAGATGGTAAACTTGGCAATCTTTGAGATAGTGGAATCCTATGTTTTACTGCCCTGGATGGACAGCACGTGCGGAAGAATTCAGCTAATGGAAAACTTGGGATAGAGGTTAAGATGATTGAAATATGTAGAAAATGAGTTTTCAGAAAATTAAATTTTGGGAAAATGCGGCAAGAGTTTTGAGGAAGGAAAAATGGACCATGTTTTGAAGTGGTTCTCGCAAGAACATTCAAACAGGTTTGTTAGTTTTAATTTTAAACGTAATATCTTTCACAAGATTTTATAATTTTCTTAGCAATATCAATTACTTGTCGGAAGAATTTTTAAGATATTATTTGTGTATATATGCATCGGCATAATTTTAACTGATTACTTGCTAAAGTATTGAAACGAAAAGCAGTATTATTTGTTTACTCACTCATACTCATGTTCTAAAGTCCACTCAACTGTACGAATGGAATGATATCAGTGAATTTATCTACAGGCTGAAAGATAATTAAGCTTTGCTTCTGAGTTTTATGAGATGAATGGTAGTTTCATTCAGTAAATGAAAATAGATGATTTTTATTTTAGATATAAATTAGACTCTTGTTTAGCATTTGGAAATTAGTTTATCTCAAACCTGAATCAGACATAGCAATAGTCTCCAACCGAAATTGCACGCGGGCGGAATGCACGAAACATAAAAAATAAAATAAAATTTTCAGATTTTATATTACGACCAAAGGGGCATTTTGTGTGTTAGCTTTATTTACTAAATATCATATTCTTGAGCACTTAAACCATAAAATGAAGTTCAACAGCAATATCACAAAATATTTAAAATGGGCATATCTTTAGAATTTCCCGCTGGTGATAAAAATGTTTTTTTTTAATACAATGTTGCCATTGCTCGCTTCGTTGAGTTTGTAAGGATTATCTTAATTTATCTAACAGTTAAATTTTGACTTAAAGTTACTGTTCTATCTTTTCTTAATTTCAAGCTTACAACTTCCGGCCAGAACGTATTTTTAGAATCGCAAATGAGGAGAAGTATTTATCTGTGAAGTTCTACTGATTTCGTTAGAGAGAACCAGTGATTCTGACTAGCGCGGGTCTGCCTTTTTAGGCAACTCTTTCTTAAGATCTTACGCTCGGCCGTACATAAGGCCCTTGATAGCTTCACCGTTACTTAGCTTCACCGTTATTTAAGGGGCCAACTCTGTTAGAATTTTGATAGCTTCGGCAATATCTTTTTAGCTAAGATTAGTTAAGTTTAATTTCATAGTTCCTGAGTTCAAGTCCGCGTGGAAGCTTTATTGAAAAACTCCAAGAAGGAGTTCTGTGAAATCAATTTGGAATAATAAAGGATATTTAACTCTTCCCAAGTTTTATTTTCTGTCTCACGAACTCAAGCGATTATTCGATTACCAGTTCTTAAGATTCTTCAAATTTAACTTAGATGTCTTACAAGTTTGTTAATCAAAACTTTGTTAAAGTTTTAGAAAATAAAAAATAGATAATAAACCAAATTTCGAAATTGGGTTCCTAATCGAGTGGAGTGCTACATTATTCAAAATTTGATGGCTCTAGGTACCGTTGTTTTTTCACAATGCGAGAAACTTTCATGCAGATTCTTCATTATTTAATTTCTTTAAATATAATGCAGGGCTCTAATATTTGGTGGCAACAATTTGAAAAGTGAAACGTAGTTTCATAGTGGACGACGCAAAATGCCAAAACGAAATTAATAGCCTTGCTGGGAAAATTACCCCTTTGGAACTAAAAAAAGAGAGAGAGAGCAAAATAAAATCTTTTAACTAAATTAACATTATTTTACTATATTTTTGTAATAACGTACATAAACAGTAATAATAATTGTACAAAGAATAAATTCAAATTTAAACTTACTTTCACTCTGAAATATATAAGATTGGTATCTGCAACAGTTTCCTGTTGGTTGCGCTTCTTAAGTCAAACATATTGACAGCTAAAAATTAAATTTTCAGACTGCCATTTATTATAAATAATTCTAATGCATTTTAACTTAAATTATAAAAATATGAATTATGAAAACTTCCCAAGTGGGACAAAACTTCAGAATAAAACATAACAGCCTATCCCTTTTTTTACTTATTACATTTTTCTTGGACGCATATAGAAAAATTCATATTTGTATTTGAACATTTATAAACTTCTTTACATCTTACTACAAATTTTAGCTACAACATCTGAAAGCATTTCGATTTTTATAAAAGTTGTAACCTTGGATAAAAATTACTAGAAATTAGTTTCATCCAGAATTTTAAATAAGCATCGTCAATCTGTTGAGTTTCTGTGCGTTGTGTTGTGAAATATCTCACTTTTCTTACAGTAATATCAGAACAAGCCCACGAAATTCATTGCGGCAAGGAGTGTAAGACTGCGCTTGTCGTTGCCCTTGAGCATCATACAGATCCACCACCCCTCTTCTCCTACCACCAACCTCTCGAGAGGACTTTTGGATCGCCGCATATTTAGAGTGCCCACATGCCGCAAGAGCACTATTCATTTACAAACATCCATGCCCTCTTCGGGATTCGAATCCGGGCCCTTCGGTACCGCAGTTCGCGTTTCTTTCCTAACCATACAACGTCTCGGCTTGTTTAATTTCTTAGACTTACTACTTTTCAGCTACGAAAAACAAAATGTTCATATATAAATGTATCCTCAAACAAAGCGATTATTCTTACTGCAAAAATTCGTAATTCGTATATACTATTTATACCATATTTAATTATATATTCATACTCGAATGGTTACGTATTTATTCATTTAAATAATCAATTTTATCATTTCGAGCATATCTTGTGATTAGATCATTGTTCAAAAGTTTCTGGGAAATTTAAATGTGCCTCAGCCAGAAACATTACCCAGAAATTAACTTACATTTTCGTCCAATTTTCTAGCTATTGACAAAAGTCACCTTTGATTTACTAAAAAGATATCGTTATAAGACATCTGTTTCTTTAAAAATTGTCCACCTCCTTTCTGAAAGTTAATGTTTTTGTAAGCAGAAACCAACTTCATGCTGAATAGAGTTGTTGTCGTTGTCCTAAAGTTCATTAGAAAAATAAATGTAGCCTTCGATAACAGCTAAATAAATTTCCACTTGAAGAAAAATAAAAAATATAAGTAGGGGGAAAATTCTTGGGTTTCTTTATTAGAGAAATGACATTTTAAAACAAAAAAAGCATTCCTTTTTTGCCCGACCATTATCTAATGTTGCGTAACTAGCAGTGAAACTGCCTGAAATCAAATTAACTGGTTTTATGTCTAAAACCTACAATAGAAAAAGGGTTTTTCACATTCCTTATCTGTTTTTACATTACAAACAGAATATTAATCGCAGACTGAAATCTGTAAAGCTATTAAACGAAATAACAACCGTTATTTTGCGCAGCTATTGAATTATGAAATATGTTGTTCGGTAACTTCAGTTTGTGCAAGATGACGTATTCAGTGCAGATACGAAAGGACTTATATGGACAGAAAACTTAAAATGCATGAGCTATAAATTGATAACTACTTGCAGATGGTATCTAAATTCAAAAATGTGATTTAAAATATAAATTTTAAATGGAAGATTCAATTTACGGTGGACTTCCAGTAATGAATCCACTGAATAAATTAAAACTAAGATTAAAAATTTTTTTTCATAAATTATTTTTTGTGTTTTCATCTATTGAGCTTTAAATCAAATTTTAAGCATTTACAGCAAAATGAAATTTATTTTAAATTTAATTGGCATACCTCCTTCGAAATTAAATAAAATAAACTTTTACAGTACGTATACTGGTAACATTCGTGTATCGGAAAAAGATATTAACAATTTAAAATGGCATGGACAAAAGCAATGGTGTG